CAGAGTTCAGCAGATTTTCGGGATTCAACAGGATTTGGCGCAGGATTTTTGGTAAAACCAGGTAATAGCATTAAATGTGACTTGCCATTTCATTTGACTTGTAAATGCTATATATTATTTATTTATTTTTTTAGGTTCTGTCAATATTAGCGTAAAATGTAGTGGGCTGTAGGTATATGCAAGATAATATGATATGAGTATTTATTGGAAGTGGAAGGGAAGAAATGTTGTGGGCTTTTGGAAGTGGGCTGGCAAGATAAGTGGAGAAGGTTGAATTGGATGCCTAGGATGTGAAGGAAAGGAGGTGTTAGTAGGCTATTTGGGTTGAATTTGGTCGGTTATAAGCACGAGATGGCGATTATTTGTGAGCTCCATTCATCAATCTTTTCCGAGAGAGATCGGATTGGGGCTCCTCATAATTATCAAGTATCTTAGTGCCACAAGCCTTACCATTCCATTATCAGTAGACGAAATGTTTGAGTAGCCAAAGATCGTTACCGCCTCGAGGGGAATAAAATCTAAATTGTCCCTCGACTGTGGGCAACAAAATAACTCCAATTTAATTGAACAAGGGAACAAGCATCCATCTTTGGTAGTTATCCCTGCCTCGAACCAATCCTTTGACGCCTTCAATTGAAAAATATAATCCCTCTAGCAATGGAAAGACACGACATTCATCATTCCCATTGGATTTGCCTTCGACTATTTCATTCTCGATATCGTAGACCTTGCACCCATGTATTTCTTTTCACTTAAATTCCCTAGACATTTTGGTAGTTGAAGGTCGTTGCGCACGTTCTTGGCGAAAAGTTTGATTCTTAACTGGCGAAGCGCAATCATATGCTCTAGCTCTATAATTTTAAAGCCATTCTTATTTTTTTAACATAAAATCCATCTAGTTGTTGGAGATAGTTTGGCTCTCCAATTATATGCCTTCCAGAAAAATCATTTGAGGGCAATTGCTTGTAACATATATTTGTAGAGTTATTCATGCCTCTCGATAAGAAATTGTTTCGAATAAGACAATTTTGTAGATGCCTTGGGAGAACATTTAGTTCAATCTTAAGATGGGAAGTATGTCATTTTGACCCAATTCTTTGCAATCATCAATGCGACTAGGTCCATCCAAGTTATTACTGAAATTTTACTTCCCAAACCTCCACAAGACGGAGTGGCGAGCACACTTTCCCATTTTTCTTTTATCCTGCTTCTCATCATCCTCCCAAATGTCATCCAACATAAGTAAGAATTTTTTGGACATGATCTCAATTCGAAGACTATCTTAAAATGCCTAAAGTGTCTCCAAACGAGGTCTCTCCTTCTTAAGAGATTCCAACATATTTGCAATGACGTTTTCACATCATAGTTGTTAGAAACACAAACCCACATTTTAAGATCAAATTCCTCTGCCATTTCATCTTCATAAATATGTTGCAAGAGAATTGTCTTTCCCATACTGCCGTCCTCCACTACAGATAGAAGAGAAATGTTTTTTGTACAAGTCTGTTCCATTAGCAAGAACTTGATACTCATTTGATTTCTTTCTTAACCACTGCATAATAAACAAAGATCACAATGCCATTCACATTCGAGCTGAATCATCCTTATCAAATTCATAATTTTTTTGTAGTTGCCTCAACATGGGGGTAAGGACTCTAAGGTTAGAGTCAGCAATCTTTGTAGAATTCATAATATTCGATCATTTACTTGTTTTAATTGAACCTTTTATTGCTAAGGTTAAAATTGAATCTACTGCTAAAACGTTGGGTTACTCTAAGTACTATTCTATCTGTTCTAATAAAATTTGGATTATGTGGAATAATTCCATCTCGTTAAATATTATTGATGATCTATCTCAAGTTATTCATTATTATATTAGCCTATCTAATGTTACTTGTTATGCTTCTTTTGTGTATGCTGCTTGCAATAGAGTTAACTGTATCACTCTTTGGGATCATTTAAATAATTTTGCTTCTAATATTAATGGCCTTTGGTGTGTGGGAGGTGATTTCAATATCATCTTTAATGCTTCTGAAAGAGTTGGTGGTAATCCTCCTAACACTAAAGCTATGGAAGATTTTAACTCTATGATTAGCGATTGCAATTTGAATGATATTGGCTTTTTTGGGAGCCCTTTTACTTGGAATAGAGCTAATTTGTGGCAAAGATTAGATAGATTTCTTTTCAATAATGAGTGGATTGCAGATTTTCCTATGACTAATGTTGAACATTTAAGTAGAACTATTTCCGATCATTCTCCTATTCTGTTGAACGTTAACAATATTAATCATTCTATTTCTTATGCTTTTAGATTTCAGAATATGTGGATGCATCATGCTGAGTTTATGAATGTGATTAATACTAATTGGAGTGCCCCTGTCTATCCTGATAATAACATAACTGGCATGATTAGATTATGGGCTAAGCTGAGTAGACTTAATTAAACAATGTCTGAGGTGGTGAACAAAAATATATTTTCTAATATTAAAGAAGCTGAATTGAAAGTTACTGAATTAGATAACATCTATTTGAAAAATTCTAATTCTGATAATCTTATTTGCCTTAATAAAGCCAAGGAAAATCTCTTTCAATTGCAAGTTCAGGAATTGTCTTTTTGGAAACAAAAATCTAATGCTAAATTTGTTATGGAAGGTGATAGGAATACAAATTTTTTTCATATGTTAGCTAATATGAAGAGAACTAAGAGTCAGATTCATAAAATTGTTGATAATGATGGTAACTCTATTGTCTCGGTGATTTAATTTGTATGTCTGGTGTTGACCATTTCATGAAGATTTTTAATAGTCACTGCATGTGTACTCCTATAAGTAATCCTAATATTATTCCTAGAATTATTAATGAGGTTGATAACAATTTACTTTGTCAAATCCCCTATGATGAAGAGATTTTTAATGTGATTAATGATCTTAATGGTGATGTGGTTGCTGTACCTGATAGTTTTTCTACCAAATTCTTTCAACATAATTGAGATATTATTAAGGTGGAAGTGATTGAAGCTGTGAAGAATTTTTTTAAGGGAAATTCTTATCCCAAAATTTTTTCCTCCACTAACATTGTCCTTATTCTGAAAAAAATGGCCCCAATCATTGGAATGATTTTAGACCGATTAGCCTTTGTACCTTTCTTAACAAACTTAACTCTAAGATTATTGCTAATAGGTTGATAAATATTCTCCCTAAAATTATTTCTTATAATCAGTCTGATTTTGTCAGGCTAGAAGTATTTTTGACAATGTTCTATTAGCTCAAGAAATTACTCATGATATCAATGTTAAGGTTAAAGGGGCAACATTATTTTTAAACTTGATATTATTAAAGCCTATGATAATCTCAATTGGAAATTTCTTTATGCTATTTTATCTTTATTTGGCTTTAATGACAATTTCATTTCTCTTATTAAAAATAGTATTGAAAATTGCTATTTTTTTGTTATCATTAATGGTATGAATCATGGTTTTTTCAAATCTTTCAAAGGGTTAAGGCAATGTGATACTATTTCTCCTACTCTCTTCATTATTGCAATGGAATATCTAGGGGTTTGGATAATTTATATGTGAGAGACCCTAACCTTAATTTTCGTACCATTAGGAGTTTTCCTATATCGCATCTTAGCTTCGCTGATGATTTTATCTTGTTCTCTAATGGCTCTATTAATAATATTAAAGAGTTAATCAATTTTCTTATCAGCTTTGATAATCAAAGTGGCCTTTCTATTAACAAAGACAAAAGCACTTTTATTGTGGGCAAATCTATAAACCAGAATAGAATTAATTAATGTTATTTAAAGAGTTTGTGGTTTTCAGTCTAAGAACCTTCCCATAACCTATTTGGGCACTCCCATCTACAAAGGAAAAAAAAAAGGAAATTTCTTTTTGAAGATATCTTTACTAAGTTTTAGAAAAAATTGACTAACTGGTCTTCTAAATTTTTATCTCATGGTGGAAGATTAGTTCAGATCAAATCAGTTTGAAACTCTATTTCTATTTATCTGTTTCATACTTTATTTCCACATGCTTCTACGTGTTCTAAATTAAAGAGGATGATAAACAAATTCTTTTGGGGTTCTAAGTTCAATAGCAATGATATTCGTTGGTCTTCTTGGGAGAAGATCTGTGGTGTTTTGAATGAAGGGGGTTTAGACTGCAAAACTTTAAGTGAAACTGCTAAAGCTTTCTTTCATAAATTCTGGTTTTCTTTTAGAACTAATATCAGTTTATGGGCTCGTTATATGAATGCTTAGTATTGCAATAACATGCATTAGACTTTATGTTTTTACAAAAATGCTGACTTTATTGTTTGGAAAAGACTATGAAACATAAAATGGGACGAAGCTGAACACTTTATTCAATGGGGGTTTGGAACAGGTGACATTTTTTTCTAGCAAGATAACTGGTTGGGACTTTCTTCTATTGTTTCTTTACTTAATACGCATTTTATTGATAACGTTAAACTTTCTTGTTTTATTACTAATAATGGCTGGAACATCACTAAGCTTAGGGAGGTGCTTCCTCCTGATATTGTGGAGAATATTTTGAAAATTCTCTTATAGGATCAATGCAAAGATAAAATGCTTTTCACTCTTTCTTCATCTGGTAAATTTTAGTTGAAAGATGTTTGGGTGAATTTTAGAATAAAAAAGGAAAAATTGCTGATTTTTTCAACTTTTTGGCATAAAAATTTCCCTCTCTCTTATTCTATTCTTGTTTGGAGATGTATTAAAGGTTATCTTCCGGTTGACTCTATGCTCCAAAAAAAAGGTTTCTATATCCCTTCCAAATGTTTCTGTTGCTCAAATGTGGAGAGTATTGATCATCTTTTTGTGAATGATTTTATTGCCCATAAAGTGTGGTTTCAGTTGTCTTGCCAAAAAAATTTCTAACTTCCAACATAATAATGTTATTTCAATTCTTGAGCTTTGGGTGAATGGTTCTAAAGGTCATATTTTGAATATGATCCCTACTCTTATTATTTGGTATATTTGGAAAGCTAGAAATGGTGATAAGCACAATGATATCAATATGGATGCTTCCCAAATTATTTCAAATGTTAGACACAAAATTTTGCAATTTTATTCTTACAATCTTATTATTGTTAAGAATTTTCAAAAATGCGCGAATATGGCCATTGCTTTTGGTATTCCTGTGAACGATGGGACTATCAATTCGGTTGATAAAATTGTTAAGTGGATTAAACCCAAACCACCTTATGTGAAACTCAATTTGGAGGGGTCTGTTGGACCTAATTGTTCTGGTGCTGGTGGTATTATTATGGATCAATTGGGGTGTATTCTTGCTGCGTACGCTGGACAGTGCTCAAATGTGATTTCGACTGAGCTTATGGCTTTACATTATGGATTGAATATCTGTATCAAAATGGGTATTACCTTTGTGTGGATTGAGGTGGATGCTATGCTTCTTATTCAAATCATTAACAATGTTGTCCATGGTAGCCCTCAAAACTTTTATCTTATTAAGAAAATTAAGAATTCCCTTACCTTTGTCAATTTTTATATATCTCACATTTACTGGGAAGTTAACGTCAGTGCAGATTGGTTAGCTAAAAAGGGTTGTTCTATTCATAATTATGAAGAGTTGGATATTCAGAGATTAAACCCTAGCTTGAAAGGTATGATAAGCTTGGATAAAGCTGGCTTACCATATATTCGTAATGTTTGATATTTTTTTTTCTTTTGGCTGGTTGGTGTATCCCTGTTTTGAGGTTAATTAATAGTCGTTGGCATTTGTTTAAGTGGCAGATTTTCTTTAATATTTTGCTACATCTCTTTCTTCTTATGTATATGGATCCGGTGATGGTTTATTTTATTTCATGTTTGTGCTGTCAGTTTTTGGAGAATGCATCTTTTTTGGTTCAGGTTGAGATTCCTTGGTCTTTTGTTTCGGGACATATGTTGTATCTTAAATTATGGGATATTTTTTTGGTTTGAGGTCTTTCCTTTATGTTATCTACTGAGACGGAGGGGGTTCTTTTCTTAAACTGGATGGGTATTTCTTATAACTACTTTGTTTGTTGGGATCAATATTGGATGGGTATTTTATCTGGATCCTGAGGCTATTTTCCTAACTTGATGCAGAATTTTAATAGTGTGGGTATTTATCAGCGTCTAATCTAGATCCCATGGGGGAATTTCGTTGGGTATAATTTTGTTAGTGGTTTTCTATGGTGGCTGCATGTCCAAACCTTGTCTAAAATTAAGAGTTATGATGGCTGCTGGTTTACTGATTTGGATTGAATTTTTGTTATTATCTTGTTTATTCTTAAATGTATTCTCACTCTTTTAGTTTGTAGGTTTCTTAGGTGGAAGCTTATCGACTATCTTTCTTCGGACACTCAAGACAATTTTGCTCCCTACGGTTCGATTATCTCTTTTTACAGGAATTACATGCTGAACTGTTATCCCTTGAGATTTCTTTTTTGGGTGCTGTCCTCTTGCAGCCCTAGTATGTTTTTAAGTCATTTTGTAATTAGTAGTACAAGGAACCACCGACTTTTAGGTTTTATTTTATTTTATTTTATAGCTCTTCTGAGCATTAGAAAGCTGGAGGTTCCTTTTAAGGACCTTGTAACCTTGTTTTTAATATTAACGCGTTAGGCCCCACAATGGGTTTTAAAAAAAAAAAAAAAAAAAACAGACATTTTCATAAAAATTCTGCTATGATATCACTGTTGGATCATGTAGAAAGTGTGCCATAATCTTAGCCTAGTCCTAAAATTAACCTTCAAATTAATTGGTCGGAAGCACAATTTAATCCTTTCTTTTGGTCTACTTGTTTTGACTTTTTTTTTTCTAACATCTTGTATCTCTTCCTCAACTTATGGCATTATCTGATTGGGGCCATATATTTTGATCATCTTCAGTGAACGTACGCATTCTACTTGGTGACTCTTCACCTCGTATGGTTAGGATTTGCAAACTAGCTTGTTAACTCAGTACCCAACTTTGATCATTGAATGCATGTTAACTCTTATAGGAAATTGAATCTAAGTCTTGAACATTATGTGTCATCATGCAAGTTCCCAAAATATAGAAATTCTTCCATAATCTACTTTGGACTACTATCCAGCATCAAGGAGGAAAAAATTCCATTGGTGGGCAAATTAGGCCCTAGTATGTCCAAGCCACCTTTTGATGTTATTAAAGGAGAGGAAGACTTTTCATGTTAGGTTCTTCAAGACATGAGATTTTTTGGGTTGCTTTTGGCTCCTAAAGTGCTTTTTGCTGCTCTTATAGCTAGGTTTAGACTTTTAGAGTCCTCGCTTCTTTCTTGAAAGCCATGCCATTTGTTGTCTTCTCTTCAATGAGTTGATTAATGACGTTCAAAAAGTGCTTATGAATAGAAGCTTCTAACTCTTAGACATCCTTAAACTCATGCGGTGAGATTTTTGAATGAAGCGAGCTGCTCATGCCACCATAAAGCTTAATTTTATTTATTCTACTCCCTCTTTTAATCCGTCATTGAACCTTTTTTGCCGACCACCGCCATGAAACCTCCGTCGCCTCACCCCTAATGTTGTACCATTCACCAACAAACCGTTGCCTTATTTTGTACACCTCTCGCCTGAAGTGGCCATGAGAGAGCTCCTCTTCGCTACGAGAAGCTATAATTCTGAAAGAAGAAAGAAATGTTAGAGTTTATCGATTTGGAAGGTATTGAAGAGGTGTTACTTACGAAATGGAAGCAAATAAGAGTGAATATAGTGGCGCCATTGTTGAGAGTTGCTGTGTTGATTTGCTTGATAATGATTGTGATGATTTTTGTGGAGAAGGTGTTTGTGGGATTTATTTGTCTTGTTGTAAAGGTGTTTAAATTGAAGCCTGAGAAGCGTTATAGATGGGAGCCAATGAGACCCGAGACATCAGATCTAGAGATTGGCGTTCTATCTTATCCAATGGTGCTTATACAGATCCCAATGTACAATGAGAAAGAGGTATGCAAGCTCTCTCTCTGGAAGAATTATTACGTCCTCCGACCGGATGCAGAGGAACAAAAAAACTCGATACACTTCAGCTGTATAGGCGCGATTTTGTCTACGACCGAATGTTCCTTTGCATCCTTACACCGAACCAAATAAAAGTTCATCTCTCTTCCATTTCTTTTGTTTGGCTCATGGAAAAGGTGATAGCAGGTGTACAAGCTTTCAATAAGGGCAGTATGCAATTTGGATTGGCCATCCGACAGGATGATTATTCAAGTACTGGATGACTCCACTGATCCAGTTGTGAAGGCATGGAACTCTCTCTCTCTCTCTCTCTCTCTCTCTCTGTATACATATAAAAAACTATTTTATATATATTACTGTATACTGAATTGTAGCCAACTTTCTCCTTGATGCATATTTATGACGCTTAATTTCCTTATTTTATATGTGCTTACTTTCAACACTCTAACCATTAATTTTTTGAGAAATTTATATACATGGTGTACTTAATATATTATACATAAATTTTTAAATGTATTAATATAAATACATAACACCATAAACCTTTAAATCACATGAAAATATTTTTTTTGGTTAAAACCCACAGTAGGGGCCTACGCGTTAATAACAAAAATCGGATACATCGTCCTTAGAAGGATCCTCCAGCTCACTACTGCTCGTACGAGCTACAAGATAAAAAGAAAAAACTAAAACCTACGAGCCGGTGGATCCTTTTCCTAAGAGTACAATAAAAACTGAAGCAAATATATGGGCTGTGGGTAGACAACACCCAAAAAAGGAGAAGCGAAATATTCCCATTCAACCCAGCTCTCCTGCAAAAAAGAATACGATAGACAAAAAGGAAATGCAAAAACCAAGTAAAGTATACCTTGCGGACAATCGAGCTCAGATCAAGAATCTTGTTAACAAACCTACAAGGAATACTCCAAAAAACCATTAGATTTCCACAAAAATTAGAAATAGCTTTAAACCCCTCAATATTATAAATACTCCAAGATTTTTTACAATCAAATAACCCCACCAAAGCATTCATCAGGCACACCCTCTTCCCCTTCGTCAAATAGAAAGGACCATACAGCTTGGAATCATTCTGATGCCACCAGAAACCAGAAATATCGATAATACTCAAACTAAAATACATACCAAGACTCAGAATGTACCCATCAATACTATTCAACCCGAAATTACCAAATAAAAGCTCACCCAGGATATTCAACAGACGCCCCCATTTAGTAGAAACGAAGCACTTATCCATGATAAAGACAAACCAGCAGCTAGAAACCAACCATGGGAAAGAAAACAAAGAAACCCCAGCAGCAATAATGAAGACAAAACAAATCCAACAGAACAACCCCAACAGCAAAAAGGAAAACAGAACAGAGCCAACAGAATAGAAAAATAAAATCATCCAGCTCTGAAATAAGGCATACAAGCCTTATCCATGAGAATCATACCCTTCAAAACTTGATCTAAATTTAAAATATTCAATTCTTCATAACCATAAAGAGTAAAACTCCTATTAGCAAGCCAATCCGCACAAACATTGCCTTCCCTGTAAATATGCGAAATAAAAACATTCATCTCATTCATAATAATCTTAACTTTTCTAAAAAGATAAAAATAATTAGCATTACCAGTGGCCCCATCTTTAATACTTTGAACAATAAACATAGCGTCTAATTCAATCCACACAGAATTACAACCATATTTAATACACAGTTCCAGCCCCAGAATTAACGCACTGAGCTCAGCAGAAATAACATCATTAATCTGGAGAGGAGTAGCAAAGGTAGCCACGACCTCTCCACCAAAATCACGAATGATACCTCCCGCTCCCGCCCCCACAGATCCATCAGTATTCAATTTAACATAAGGATGTTTGGGTTTTATCCAGTAAACAAAAGAATCAGCCATAGCGGGAGATCCTTGATCAAGGGTAATCCCAAAGAATTCAGCCAAATGCTTACATCTATAAAAGGTTTTACTAGATAAAATATTAAAATTAAAGAGCTGCAAAACTTTTCTTTTCACATTTTCAATGATAATATTAGCATCCATATTCATATTCTCATGTTTAGCCTCATTTCTAGCCCTCCAAATATACCAGAGAATAAGGATGGGTAAAAGATTTAAAATATGACCTTTACTAGAATGAAACCAGCTCTCCAACATCAAATGCAAGGTATTAATCATCGTAGAATTCTTATCAGTAATGTTGTTGAAATAACTCCAAACTTTTTTAGCAATCAACCCATTAATGAAAAGGTGGTCAATATCCTCACAATTAAAATAACAAAAAACACTTGGAAACTAACGTAATACCTTTTCTTTGAATCAGATTATCAACAGGGAGAAAACCTTTAATACACCTCCAAACAAAAGTAGAATAGGTGATAGGAAATGAACTATGCCAAATAGCCGCAAAAATAGGGGATTTAACAGACGGAATACGAAATTTCTCCCACAGGTTCTTAAGTTTAAATTTACCATTGGAGGATACAGTCGAAAGAATTTGATCATTGCAATTCAGTTGTAAAGGAATTTTCAAAATCCTGTCCACCAAACAGTTAGGTAACATCACTTTTAACTTATCAATATTCCAACCATTATTTAAAAAGAAAGAAGACACTTTAACAGTTTCCAAGGTATGAGTATTTAAATAAGCATCAATCGCAGTATTACCCAACCAGTTGTCTTGCCAAAAATAAATGTCTCCCTTATCCAAACCCCACTGAATAAAGTTTTCCGCTTCCCATTTTATGCTACACAACCTTTTCCAAGTCCTAGAGTCAGTATTTTTATAAAAACCAAAACTAGGATGCATCTTATTGCAATATTTAACATTCATATAATGAGCCCATAAACTAGAATTGGATCGAAATGAAAACCACAATTTGTGAGAAAAAACAGTAGCAATATCATTCAAAATCTTACAGCCAAGACCCCCTTCATTTAACACCCCACAATTTTTATGCCACGCCGACCAATGAATAGCATTAACACCCAACTTGGAACCCCAAAAAAATTTGTTAAACATTCTTTCCAATCTAGCACAAATTGATAGGGAAGGCATCAAGGTATTAAAAAGATAAATGGGAATCGAATTAAGAACAGATTTAATAAGAATCAAACGGCCACCAAAAGACAAAAAATTAGACGACCAACTAGCCATTTTCTTTTGAACCATAGTGAAAATTTCTTCAAAAAGGGAATTCTTTTTTTTTTTTACCATTATAAATCGGCGATCCCAAATATCTCATCGGCAACTTTTTAGCTTGAAAGCCACTGGCTCTTTGAATAGCTTGAATTCTGCTATGGTTAGCCGATTTGCCAACAATAAAACTGCTCTTATCTTTATTAAAAGCAAGGCCACTACAACCATTAAAATTAGTAAGAAATTTCATTAAAATTTTGACATTCTTAATAGCACCATTAGAAAATAAAATGGAATCATCAGCAAAACGCAAATGCGATATAGGAAGACCTCTAATCGTACGAAACTTTAGGGTAATATTCTTAGCATAAAGATCTTCTAATCCTCTAGATAAATATTCCATAGCAATAATAAAAAGAGCAGGAGAAATAGTATCCCCTTGACGGAGACCTTTTGAAGATTTAAAATAACCATGCTTTCTACCATTTATAATAACCGAGAAGAAACAATTCTCAATACTATTTTTAATCAACAAAATGAAATCCTGGTTAAAACCAAATAAATCCAACACCTTGTAAAGGAAACTCCAATCCAAATTATCATAAGCTTTAGTAATATCTAACTTAAAAATAATATTACCTCGAGTAATCATAGCATTTAAATCATGAGTAAGTTCTTGAGCAAGCAAAACATTATCACAAATAGTTCTCCCTTTAACAAAACCGGTTTGATTCAGAGAGATAATTCTAGGCAACACTTTAGAGAGTTTATTAGCAATAATTTTAGAGTTCAATTTATTAAAAAAAGTACACAGACTAATAGGTCTAAAATCATTCCAAGTGTTAGCCCCTTCTTTTTTCTTAATAAGAACAATATTAGAAGAAGAAAAAAAATTAGGGTAAGAAGTGCCTCCAAAAAAATCTTGCACAGCTTCAATAACATCCACCTTAATACTCTCCCAAGATTTCTGAAAAAATAAGGTCGAAAAACCATCAGGACCAGCCATAGCATCGCCATTTATCTCCTTGATAGCATCAAAAATTTCATTTTCAGCAGGAATTTGACAAAGCAAAACATTATCAGCATCATTAATAAGCTTAGGGATGACCGACGGATTATGAATATGCTCAATATCAACATGGTTATTAAACATATTAAAAAAGAAATCCACTCCCGACTTACAGATAGACTCCTCCGTCTCAAGTAAAATTCCTTCATTGTTCACAATTTTATGAATTCTATTATTAATTTTATTTTTATTAGCAATAGCATGAAAAAATTTGGTATTTATATCTCCCTCCATAACAAATTTAGCATTAGACTTTTGTTTCCAAAAGGACTCTTCTTGAAATTGTAATTGGCAAAGAACATTTTTAGCATGATTAAGATTAAACAGGTTATCCTCATTCGGATTGTTAGAATAAATACCATCCAGATCCACAACTTTATTCTCAGCTTCAAGAATGTTCGAAAAGATGTTTTTGAAAACATTTTTATTCCAATGTATGAGACATTGTTTCAATCTAGCCAGCTTAGCCCAAAGCCTCATCATACCAGTGATAGTATTGTCAGGAAAAACATGAGCATTCCAATTGGACTCAAGCACCTCTTTAAAATTATCATGAAGTAACCACATATTAAGAAATCTAAAAGCAAAAGAACCAGTTTGATTAATCACATTAATATTAAGAAGCATTGGGGAATGATCCGATAGAGTTCTACTCAAATGCTCCACATTAGTAGCAGTAAATTTGGCAATCCACTCATTATTAAACAAAATTCTATCCAAACGTTGCCAGAGATTAATCCTATTCCAGGTGAAAGGACTACCAAAGAAGCCGATATCATTCAGATTACAGTCATTAATCATGGAATTAAAATATTCCATAGCTCTAACATTAGGAAGACCACCTCCCCTTCTCTCGTTTGAATTAGAAATAATGTTAAAATCCCCTCCCACACACCAAGGCCCATTTATGTTATGAGAGAAATTAATAAGTTTCTCCCAAAGATTAACACGGTTATTTCTTGTAGAAGCAGCATAAACAAAAGACGTAAAGCAGTTCATATTAAAAACATTAACATGACAATGAACAACTTGATGGAAGTCAGCTACAATACTTAATGAAATAGACTTTTGCCACATTATCCAGATTTTGTTTGAACAATTACCAAAATGCATAGCAAAACCCAAAAAATTAGCAGTTTCAACGATTTTATCCAAAGAAATAAGAGGTTCAAATAAAACGAGCACTTGAATATTGTGGATCCTACAAAGATTTTTTACTCTAAGTTTTGAATCTCTGCCACCAATTCCCCTAACATTCCACAAAAGAGTTTTAATCATTGCAATCTTTTAAGGAATTTTGAGCTCTAGTATTTCTAGGGGTAGCAGGACAAGAAGTTTTATTGTGCTTACCTTTTTTCTTGCCACCTTTAAACAAACCCTCCTCCTCAGATATAATACGACCATCAGAAATATTTTTACTAATAGGTGAAGAAACCGTACCTTGCTTAGTGGGAGACTTAGCATTTAGGTTAGAAGGAGGAACAAATTCTCCTTCTTCATAAGATTCAGTAGAAACATCCGCACCATTGTTTTCCAATTGATCATAATCCTGTCTCAAAAGTAAAGCATTCTCAATGGACACAGAATTAGAAATAACAGGCATATCATTAAGCATATCATCAATTAAAATGAAGAGTTTAGGATCAGCTTTTGTTTCATTAATGCTGGAATCTAAAAAAAACATCATTCTTAGCATTTAAAACACCAACAGACATGTCCTGTTCAACTTCTCCCACATGAACGATCTCTTCCCCAAATTCCATACTGTTATTAGCATTTTCCACCTGTGCCAATTGAGTAGTAGGAGGCGGTTCCACCTGAATAACATTTCCTTCATTGTTATCAACGACCGGCACATAAATTTGCTTATTCTAAGCTGATCCAAGCCTCCGACTAGCCTGACCAGCAGGCTTCTTAAGCTCCGGGTTTAGTTTAAAACAGTCAACTTGGGCATGGCCATGAATTTTACAATGAGTGCAAAATTTTGGGACTTTTTTGAATTCAGCATTTTGCAAATATCCATAAGCCTTAGATCCGACCCATATTTCCTTAGGGTGTTTTTTCGAAATGTCCACTTCCACGAGCACTCTCGCAATAGAAGGACGGGTCCTAGCAGCAGTTGCCTGATCCGTTTGGAGCGGCCTCCCAAAAATGGAACCCAAAGCATGCAAAACTTTAGAGTTAAAAAAATGCAACCGAAGATTTGGGAAAGAGATCCAAACCGGCATGATAGGAGATTCTTCCTTAATGTCAAAGAAAGGAGCCCACTTTAATATACACATTTGACAGTTATAGATGAAATAGGAGCGTCTAGCAAAAACCCTACTATAATCAAGATCATTTGATAATTGAATAGCCACATGTCTTGTATCCAAAAGACCCACCGAGTAAAAACCAGTAAGCTTAAGAGATGAAAAAAAATTCCTAATAACATCAAGATTAGGGCACCGGACACCAAACTTACCACCAGAGTAAATTGAAAAGGCGAAGCCAGTTTAAGAACTTCTTCATTGGATAAAAGCACAGCCGGTATACCATTAAAAACAGATTGTAGAACATTAGAAAAAATATCACCTGAAGAAGCCCCCTCTAAAACTTCTTTAAACGATCTAGAGGTAGAAGGAGATTTGGAACCCTCAGAATCAAGGTTAAAAAAGCCTTTATTCTTAGCTACCAGCGGATCGGAAGGTTTCCCCCATGGATTAGCTGGAGGAGCGACCGCCATGCGATCCACGCCCAAAAGGGCCACAAACCCTCAGGAACAACCAAAGCTTTCGATTCTCGAACAAAACCAACGAAAATCGACGAGAAAACCAGGGAGAAAGCGAAGAGAACACGAACTCACGGAGGAAACCCTAAATCGCCAGAGCGGCGCCGAAGGGCTGAGGAGAGAGCGTGTGACATGAAAACATCATTAATATTTACTTTTTTTACTTTATTAAAAAAAAGTAAATATGAAAACATCATTAATATTTACTTTTTTTTAATAATTTGTATCTTTTATATATAATTTTAAAAATAAATAAATATAAAATTTAAATATTCAATATGTACTTTGCTTCCTAACTTTTATAAATTACAATTGTAAATTGAATTCTCTATATTTTTTTTTTGAGACTTTGAAGCCAATTATGATAAAATCACACCCACCTCACATATGTAAGTTTTGAACTCAAAATCATTTGATTGGTAGCCAAACTCCCAACCAACAGATCAAGATGAGTTACTTAGTCTATGTCCTTCACTCCAAATATTTGTTATTTTTCTGCTATAATTGAAGGTCCCCTCCCTTTTAGCCTGACATGGGGTTCTGTTGAGGAGCAAGTAGGGATTAATAATTCAAGTACACATGAGAGGCGACAATGGCAGATATTGTTTTTTTTTTTTTGCAAGGGAACGAGAGATTATCATATGATCATTTGGTTGGAAGTATTAGATTTATTGTATTTTATTTTCTAAGAAAAATATTAAGGGACTATTTGTTTTGCTGAAGAAATACAGTGTTAAAAAAGAATGTTATATATCTGAAATATCCAGAGTTACTTTAATGGGTATAAAAAAAACCAAATGATTACTATTTTTTGTTTGGTTTTGACTTTTGAATAAAATAAATATAATATAAAATTTAATGAGGGGTTGATGGCCAATGGTGATGGGGTGTCATAGGTCGACAACAATTAGCAATGATGGTGGCGACAACCGACATGGCTGCGACGATGTATTTTTAAATGAGCCAAAAACGACTGACCTTGGATACATCAAAATAATCAAAGTAAATTTAAAATTTACTAAAATGTCACTTTGCATTTTTTTTGTTTTTTCAATCAAACCAAACACCAAATTCTTAAAACCCAAGAAATATTTTAGACTCTCTTATCATCATACCAAAAAACAACCCTTGATTTTTTTATTGAAGGACCATTTAAGTCCCAAATTATACGAGGTATCCAATTTAGCTCGAGTGGAAGATAAGATTAGAGAGAGTCACCTTAGATGGTTTGGTCACATAAAACGCGGCCTTCTGATGACCAGGTTAGAAAAGTAGATATATTAAATTTGACTTATGTTAAAAAAGGTAGAAGTAGATCTAAAAAGATTTAGTAAGAAAATTTTAGAAATAACCTTTCTTTATTAGATTTAAATTAAAATTTAACTCTTAACAAAACACAATGAAGAAAAAATATTCATGTAGCGGACCCCATATAGTGGGATAAAAATATCTAAATCAAATAGCCTCTATATTTTATGCTTTATCAGTGCAAATCTTGTTCTCTGTAGCTTCAGTTGATGATCATATAAGACTCAGATCAACAAATCAGTATATAAAGTGAATGAGCAGTGTGTTTCACTTGTTACCATTTTTATGTCTCATCACCCCAAGAAATTATTGTGTGCGGAATCTAAATGCATTTGGAGACGAATCTGGATGTACCACGTCACTGAATGCATTGACCCCCAGAGTGCATCCGGTGACGTGGCATGCCCTGATTGGAATCCGAATGCATTCATATTCTGCACACAATAATTTCTCCATCACCACAACTTCATCAAGCCAATAATTCCTTTTAGAAAATTTTGAGAAATATTTGTACATAGTCGATCATATGTTCCCCTGTCTGAATGTTAGTGTGTTTTCTTATATAATTTGTTCAAAATAATTCCCCACATCACATAATTATAAGTCTTGGCATATATATATATATTAAAATTATTTTTGTGTACTAAAATTAATTTGTTTAGAAAAATAATTAGTTAAAACTTTAAGCAAAAAAAGAAAAAAAAAAGGACTTACTACATATTCATTGAGAAGCAAAGCAATGAATTAAAACTTATCATAATGCTCCTTATGTATGCATTTATCTTCAATTATAACATTAAAATGGAATATTTGCAGGATTTGGTGGGATTGGAATGTGAAATATGGAAGAGTAGAGGGTTGAACATAAATCACGAGGTCAGAAACAACAGGAAAGGGTACAAAGCTGGTGCTTTGAAAGATGGAATGCTTCATTATTCTGTAAAAGATTGTGAATATGTTGCCATATTTGATGCTGATTTCCAACCAGAATCTGATTTCTTGAAACGAACAGTTCCTTTTCTCATTCATAATTCGGAGATTGCTCTTGTTCAAACTCGATGGAAATTTGGTAATTTTAATTCCTAATCATATCCTCATTTAAATGATATAAGAGAAGAAAAAGTTGGAACTAGTGAGACTTAATTCATATCACATTGAGAGAAAACAAAAAATATAACTTAGAATAGCACACAAAACAAATTAAGAATTCTATGTTGCTTCACCCAATTGATGGCTATATATTGTTATGGCCTCTGAAGATTTTACAAACGGTGTAATTTTGTAGCCTCAGACCCAATTTGATTAGCAATTGAGTTTGCATAAGAATTTTCTTCATGTATTAGTTAAATTAGGCACCCCAACAACATAAAACATTAACATTATTCAATAATTCACTAATATATCTTGGATTTTGTTGGTAAATTTATGAACTCGTATAAAAAAATTCTTATTGTTTTTGCATTGTTGAATTCTTTAGTGAATGCTAATGAGTGCATGATGACAAGAATGCAAGAGATGTCATTAGATTATCACTTCAAGATTGAGCAAGAAGCTGGGTCATCTGCATTTTCCTTCTTCGGTTTTAATGGTAAAAGTTAAGAGTGAATTTTTGAATGAAGTAGTTATCTTGACTTGGTCTAAATAACTTTGCGTTTAGGAACTGCTGGCATTTGGCGCATATCAACCATTGCTGATGCTGGAGGATGGAAGGATAGGACGACGGTTGAAGACATGGATTTGGCTGTTCGTTCAAGCCTTGATGGTTGTAAGTTTGTGTATGCTGGTGATGTCAAGGTATACATGCATATCTTTTCCTTTATCTTCTACCCTAGTTATATATATTATAAATTTGTTGTAAGTTATATATTTGTTGTTTGACTTGATGTTGCCCATGAAAGATAACTAGATCTTATTACATATATAACATGTGCCCAAAGATCAAATAGAATGAGAGATCACGAGAAGAATTTAGGAAAGTATGTAAGACAATTAGAGAAATTTAAGTAAGAGGATTTTTTTTTTCTAATGTACAAGATTATATCATACATGTGCTCGACATGTCATATTTTATTTATAGTTGAGGGATAAAACTAACATTAAAAAATTGACTATATATTTTGATCACATTTATAGAAAATACATGACTTGGACTAGGTGTAACTAGTTATGTACCTAGCAAGTTTGACTTATAGGTTTACGTTTGTTAGGTAGAAAGCTTATACAAATTGTAGATTGAGGGTGATCACCCTTTAGAAAGGCGAGTTTGCCAACTGGGTAGTTAAGGATCCTTAGGCGAGTTAGGTAACTTTATTTTGATGGCCAAGTAAGGTTGGGCTTATGGTGAACTTCAATTATCCAGCTCTTGGTGGCTTGAGGATTAAGAAACATCTGACTTGTGATTTTCAAGTTATAGAAGGTTCTAAGTAGTTCTCAATAAATGCTTTATTTAATTTGATTAAGCTCTCATGATGATTTACTCAAGCCAACTTAAATGCATATTAATATGTACTTAGCATATAAATTAGCATTCAAGTTGTAAAGTGTTTAATCTCCACTCATTTGATCATCAGCATTTATACTAGGTAAAATGTGAATTACCAAGTACTTTTAAGGCCTTTCGGTATCAGCAACATCGATGGTCTTGTGGACCTGCAAATCTTTTCAAGAAAATGATATTAGAGATAATAGCTAACAAGGTACGTATATACTTCATTCTCAATATTATATAAAGTTGATTGTCAAAGGCAAGGCTCCAATAGAGCACATATATGATATTATGTTATTACATATACAATATTAGTAAAAAGTTACTTTATATTTAGGTGTTGTTATGGTCATTCCAATTAAATTTTGTTATGTTCTGTATGAATGACTTTTGCAGAAGGTTTCAACATGGAAAAAAATCCACCTAATCTATAACTTCTTCTTTGTTGGAAAGATTGTAGCTCATACATCAACCTATATATTCTATTGCATTGTGATTCCACTATCTGTTCTAATTCCTGAGGCCGAGATTCCCTTATGGGGAGTCGCATACATCCCAACAATTATTACACTTCTTAAATCAGTAGGAACTCCAAGGTAATAGCATAAAAATAAAAAAACATTTTATAATTATTCTTGCATTGGAGTATTCATAATATATTTGATATTAATGATTTAAATGCAAGAAATCTCTTCTATTTGATGAACAGCTCTTTCCACCTTGTAATCCCTTGGGTGCTCTTTGAAAATGTAATGTCCTTGCATCGAATTAAGGCAGCTACTACAGGTTTTTTAGACGTTGGCCGGGTTAATGAATGGATAGTTACAACAAAGTTGGGTGATGGTAGCAAGACAAAGCCATCTATGGAAGTGATAGTTAAGAATGCAAAAGATTTAAGAGATGCTAAAGTGATAGACCCGTTGCTTGGTGATTATAAGAAGCCTCAAGCTAGGACATGACAAAGGTATTAAACCTTAATTTAATGTTTTTAATTATTTAATCATTAGCTTATGATGGTCAGATGATCATTAGGTAGTTGAAAGATTCTTGTGCTTGTTACAATTTTAAAGTGCATAAAACATATAATTCTATCACGCATCATGTAAAGCAAAGTTAAAAGAAGTGCTAGTATATGATTGAGAAAATAAGTTGATACTATTGCTTTTTATGATTTTTCTCACTCATTAACAGCTCTTGACCACACCTTTCCATTATTATGCTTTTAAAAAATTATTCCAAGCATTTTCTTATGCCTTCCTTCCTATATAGAGAGAAATTAATCACTAGGTGTCACACAACATATTTAATCATATAATTAGAGAAATAAGAATCAATGACAATATATTTATGCATTCTCTATATACTGCAAATTCTCTCTCTCTCTCTCTCTCTCTCTCTCTCTCTCTCTCTCCCTATTTGTTATTTTTTTAATTTGATATGCTTAAAGGAAGGGTAGAGAAGTGGTGTCGGCCTTGAAAGATATGAGAAGCATTACACACATATGAATTTCCTTATTGATATATTTGAACTATGAATTTCAAATTTGATTGATGATTTCTTGTTATTTGTTGCATTAGATTTCATTTGGCCGAGCTATGGATGGGTGTCTTCATGTTTACGGCTGGACTCTATGATGTCGCCTACACTAAAAAAGGATACTTCATTTACCTCTTTATGCAATCATGTACATTCTTTATTATTGGTTTTGATTTCATTGGCTCATCTATTAAAACTTATTGAAGACAGATGTTTAATTAGTTGTTTGCATGCTCTAAATTATTTTCTCAATCAGGGTGGAAATTTATTTTTTGCTCCATGTGGGGAATTCAACCAAGACCAATGCTTGATCTATATAGATGAGTTGTTTTTATGAATTTGTAGAAGAAAAAAGGAGCTATTACTTTTATTGTTAATTTTATTTTTATTTTATTGAGAGAGAAGAGGTGTAATAAAAGCTGATGGTTATAGTAACCTCTACTATTTGAAGGAAAGAAAAGAACGGATCCTTCACAGATGCTGATATCAATGCTTATATAAAATTCTATGATTTGCTCAAAGATGTATTTATATATAATTGGGTTCATATAATTAAATTTAAAGGTATATTTGCTTCCTAAAGCCGCATTTAGATTCCTCTTTATTAATGTGCCTTATATTCCAATTAACCCCTCACAAAACATTTCATACATGTTAAGCAAGGTTACTACATGAGTAGTTATTTGGAATAATTAGAAAAAATTCATTGATTTAAGTGGAAAGAATAAGAAGGAATCTCATACCAAGTATTTACCAACCATTCTCTGATCCTACTAGAGGACATTATAAAAAATGATAGGTAAAAACTTATGTGTTTGTCTTTAGAGTTGAAGCGGTAAATCTATAATTGAATCCAGTTAGATTCAAATGGCCATATCACTGATCTCTTGAGAATAGAACTTGTAGTACTGCTGATAATACAATCAAGATACGTATAATAAATATTAATGATTGAGATCTAGATGAATAATAACATGAGGTTGCATGTCAGATCAACCACTTGCAAGCTCATTATAGTGCCTTCCTCAACTCCCATTTTTACCAAGAAATTTGTAGTATGGAGATCTTTTCCTCGAGGAAAGTGAAGTTGCATGTGGAAGTGAGGGAAGTAGGAAGTTTGTTCCAAATTATTTCAACTAATTCATCATTAAGTTGGTCTGAGGACCCGATCAATTTTACCTCTACCCTCTAAGAGCTCTTAGTTCAAATCCTACATTCAATGACCAAACTATAAAGCTAGAATCTTATCCTAGGTCAACCTAACTATAATGACTCAAAATCTAAATTTGAAAGAATTGTATCTTTTTATATCTGCAATCAACAACTAGAGCTTACTAATTACATATATATATATATATATATATATATAGCAAAAAATATGAATGCATCCAATATTTACACATTGATCCAAAACCAATAGCTATGATATGCAACCAACAATAATCCATCACTTCAAATACATTATGACTACAAAAAGAGAGACAGGCTACCATATGCGAAAAGAAAACTTAAGCCTATAGCCTGCTCAACCTCACATCACATATTCCTTATCCTTGACTAAAAACATATAAAAATTACATAATAAGCACATAGCCCAATATCTATAACTGAAATCAATAAATAAAATAAAAATGTTATACATATGAAATCATAATCATATGAACAATGTCTTATTAATTAATCAATCAATCAATATCATTTGTCAATCAATCATCGTATGTCATTTTCATTTACCATGTGTCATCAATCTTATCAATCATCAATCATTGTCTCATCTATCTTCGGCCTTATCTATCATCTATTTTATTTATTTATTTGGGTAAAATCCATGGAGGGGCTTACACGTTAATATAAAAAAAGATTACAAGGTCCTTAAAAAGAACATCCAGCTCACTAATGCTCACAAAAGCTATAAAATAAAACAAAAGAAAACCTAAGAGCCGATGGTTCCTTATACTAAGAGTTACAAAAATTACTAAGAATATTTTAGGACTGCAAGTAGATAGCACCCCAAAAAAGAAGAATAAAAATAAATCAATCAGCGCGAACTTCTTGCAAAAAAAAAGTAGGCTACCCCACACCTACCAAATAAACCTTGAAAACGAGACCTCCCAACTAAAAAACCGAAGACATACGTCCAGCCTCCAATCCCTATTTGATCTATCATCTGTCCCCAAATAAACCTTGAAAACGAGACCTCCCAACTAAAAAAGCGAAGACATACGTCCAGCCTCCAATCCCTATTTTATCTATCATATGTCTTATATGTCATATATCTATTGTATTCATCATTTATAATCGATCATATCGATCATCGGTCTTATCATATCATCCATCATTTCCTACTCATCGATCTATCTATTATCAGCCAACCATTCGTCTTATAAATTATTAATACCAATCTCATCGGTCTCATCAAGCATATTATTTCATTCATATTGTTTGTTCTTACATATATCACATCATTCATATCATATATATTATAATAACATATATCCTGTATATATCATATGCAATTATTCAAGGTTGTGAAAATCAGACCGGTTATTGAACCAGAAGATTGAGAAATTCACGGTTTGATGGTTCGACTGGAGTTGAACTGGGGTCGAATAGGACGATTTCATAAACACTAATTTTATTTAAAAAATTAACCTAATAATAATGCAATCATTCGTAATTGTGACAAAAAAATTAAGCATAATAAAAAATTATGAAGCATAAAACTTTCACAATTAAAAAAAAAAAATCTTTTAAGAAAGCACACGCTACCAAGGAAACATGGCACAAGGTTAATAAATAGTTTCATGCGAAGAAGAAAAAACATCAACAATAACATAAAACGACGTTTAGCACAAAATACAATTATAAAAGATCAAGTGATCATTCCACAAAGTAATCAATAATATAATACCAAATTCAATTAAAGAATGTAAAAGAACACCTACAAACCCGCAACTTGTAAGGACCATGAGTACAAAAAATTATTAGGTGCGGAGGCCGGACATAGAGATACGTTAGGACTCTAATAAAATATTGACATATGTAGTGGACACATTGGATTTATTTTTTAATTTATATATTTAATGTGTCAGCGGAACTTTAAGCCAAGCACATCAAAAGGACATCCAAAGCGTATGTAAAGTGCAGGTAAAGCGCATGTAAAACAAAGTAAAAAAAGTGCAACAAAAAAGCAGTCAAATCGCAACTAAAGTTCAACTAAAGTGCAGGTAAAGAGCAGGTAAAGCGCATGTAAAGCGCAGTCAAAGTGAAATAAAATAATGCAACAAAAGAGCAGTTAAAATGCAACTAAAGTACAATTAAAGTGCAGGTAAAGAGCAGGTAAAACACACAAAAAAGTACAACCAAAGTGCACTCCAAATTTCAAATTTTAAGTGGATGTCCAGAAGTATATCTATGTCTGGTCTTCATGAGATACGTCTGGTCTCCGCACCTAATAATTTTCAAGCAACGAAGAAAACAAAATAGGAAGTATGCAATCCCGTTAATGAGTCTATCACAAATAATGCTAAAGAAGCCATCTAAATTGGAGCCTCTCTAAGGATAATAAGTGAAGATCTTCGAATTCACTAAATACTTTCCTTAGTAATAATAAGCTTAAAACTGATTCTGCTTCATACCAATAAGTTGTAACTTGTACATTAACTGACATATTACCCGATTGTTTCACGAGACTTAGGCTTCGATCATTTGGGATGACATTTTTGTCGCTTTTTAAAACGGTTTTAAGAAACAAACAAAAAGCTGTCCCAAATAAAGTCTTAGGCTTTGTTTGAGACGGCCATCTTACTGCTTTCTAAAACAGTTTTTTTAGCACAAATTTTTTTGAATTAAAAATTATTGTAATAAAAAACTACTTTACAAAGCATTAAAAAAGCCATCCAAAATAAAGCTTTAGATACATGAGTATCAAATTTTCTTTGTATAAATCTATGATTGTCTGCATATTAAATTACTTCTTATAGCAGACTAATTAAATTTTGAAGCTCATACTCACTTGAAATAGAAGCTCATTCAAGATGAGACAATTTAGCAAAGGGCCAGACCAAATTCTACAAAGCAGATTGTAAAACATTTAAAAAGTCTTCCAGAAAGAATTGAAAATCATTAATGAATCAAATAGAATAAAAATTACTGTAACCAGAAAAGTTATTATATCAACCCTTTCAGGGAAAGGAGCCGTAATATTCCCTTCCTCTTTTTGTCCCGCAGCCTAATTTGTTGTTCTTCCTCTCTCTAATAAAAACTTAAACCTAGTGCGGTTAGCTGACTCATTACCATTAGTGAAGATATGCGATTAATGTTTTGTTTGGAATGATTTTTTTGACTGTTTTGTGATAAGAAAATCAGTTAATAAAAAAATAATGTGTTTGAAAGATAACTTTGCTGGTACTTTTTATAATTTTTGCCGTTGAAAAGTTATTTTTGAAAACATATTTTTCAAATAGTGGCCGTGAAAGAAGTTTTAAAAAGCAAAAACAAAAAAAAGATTAAGCTATCACAAACAAAACTGAAACCTCCAACTGATGAGATCAAAGTATTGATTGCACAATATTTGAAGATGTTCTACTATATATGGGGCTTCGGTAATCCAAATGAGCAATGTATAATAGTCCCATTCTAATCAAAATTAAGTTACACTAGAGAGAGGCTTCTTTGTAACTATAGCACTGAAATTGTCTCTCATTTGTTTTTTAGTGTGACTTCTCGTTTAGTATTTGGAAAGCCCTCTTTCTCATGGCTTCTATTTTTTCAGCTTAGACCTAACTCTATTCAAGTTTTGAACCATATCAATGATTATTCACAATTCTCTGAGGATACAAAAAAATTGTTCTATATGATTACTTGTGCTTCAATTTACTTTATTTGACATAGAAGGAAATGCGAGAAGGTATGGTGGTACATTCTCTTGTCTCAATATTATTTTGGTTTTAATTAAAAAGGCCTTTATAGCTAAAGTTAGCTGTTGGAAAAATGATGATAAACTTTTGAGATATCTATTATACTATATGTTTTGTGTCATTTTTCAAATTTTTCTGAATTTTGTGCATTGGTTGCTGGTAGGGGTGTCAATATTTGACACAACACGAAAATCCGATTCGAACTCGACCCAAAAAATCTGGGACCCGACCCGT